TATTCAATTGGTGCTTGCACTATACGTTTAGAACATAACTATTTTTGTCCTATTAAAAATACAAGATAGATAGATAGATAGATAGATAGATAGATAGATAATATTGTTATGACCTTATTAAGTCTTGGGGTTTTTGCTGAAAAGGTGTAACAAAGAATACCAAAATTTAGTAACATTGAATTAGAACTAATAAAAATAAATAAATAAAAGAAAACCGTGGACAACACACAATCAACCCTCAGCCCCAGAGTGAAGAGTAAACAAAGTAAAAAAAATAAAAATAATAATAATCATAAGAATTTATTTAATACAAATATAGAGATTTAACAGAAACTAGGTCAAAGCGGAGTGAGTATAGCCTAAAACAAACTAAAAACAGCTAACTCAAGTTTAGAGGACTAGCTAACCTAAATGCAAAATCAATGATGAAAAAAAAAATCAACAACACAAACTTCCCTGAGCTTCCCCTCTCAACCATAAACAGGCAAAAGCATATACAAAATAAAACATGGCACTCACTATTTAGGCACACTTGGAAGTACACAAAATAGGTAGAAATGCAAGCACAATAAAGTTAATTTGGCATTAGAGAATAATCCAGTTACTGCAAAATCAAACTACTGCAAACACTTGTGAACAATATCAACACACAATACAACTATAATTTACCAATACGACCGACCGACCGACCGACCGACCGACCGACCGACCGACCGACCGACCGACCGACCGACCGACCGACCGACCGACCGACCGACCGACCGACCGACCGACCGACCGACCGACCGACCGACCGACCGACCGACCGACCGACCGACCGACCGACCGACCGACCGACCGACCGACGCACTTAAGAGCTGGGGAGAAGTGTTCCTCAGCTCACTAGCTTCAGAAGCCAGTTTTTAAAGCCAAAGCACTCCGACTCAAGCAGGTTGACAACGATTAGCAGCTGGGAGCTAATTAACCTGAGAGTTGGGGGGAGAGAGAAAGAGCAAGGTGGAGCACAACACTTTATGCAAAGCCTACACACAAAAGGATGTTGTGGCTGTAACAAAATCATTTCATTGGGTTTATTTTACATCTGCAAATAGCAGAGATAAAAGAAAGCGTTTCTGTAAGAAAGAAAATAATTCCGTCAACAAATATGGGAGACTGGGTGGGGAGAGTGTTGTAACATGAGGTTAGTTATTTTTTAGCACCCAAAATTAAAAATAGTCAACTAAGCCTTCCCTTGTTCCAAACGTGTTAGACTTTCTTCTGTTGAACACAAACCAAAATATTTTATAGCAAGCTGGAAACTGTAACCATTGACTTTCTCCATACTATTTGTATTTATAGCCGATGGTTACAGGTTTTCAGCTTTCTTTAAAATATCTTCTTTTGTGTTCAACAGAGGAAAGGAACTTGACTAAATTTGAGTAATTTTTCATTTTGGGTAAACTATCCCTTTAATTAAAAAAATCGTCAGTTAGTTCAATTGTTCTTTATTACATTTTTTTTTACATCAACTGGATAGTGAGGATATTAGTTCTGGCTTAAGCCTGATTTATACTTCTGCGTCAAACACCGGCGTATGCTACGGCGCTGACGCATAGCCCTTCGCCGTGGGCCATCGCCATCGCCGTCACTGACGTGCACCTCTCAAAAAATGTAACTACACGTCGCAACGACGCGTAGCATAAGCTCTGTGATTGGTCGGCTTGGTAGCGCTGACGAGTCTGGGCGGGACCTAGAGGCGCGCGAATGGCGCGACGCCGCGCGAGCGATTGTTTACAAGTGTGGAGTCCCGTGAAGGAGCTCCGGATGGAAAGTTTTGTTTTGTGTTTACCTCATAGTTAAAGTTGTTGCACGTCCGCCGGTTCCTGCCTCAAAATGAGCGAGTTTGAGCCACTTGTACATCCCGGAAGTGTTCAGGAAATGCAAAAAAGTAGCGAAGAAACTTGACACAGAGGAACATTTACACCTCACTGCCAACTAGCGTTTCGGAAGTGTTAATGCAGACCGGCAGAGACAGCGCGCAGAAGTATAAATGCACAGCCACGCGCGTTGCCTGCGCCGTGGGTTACGCCGGTCACTTGACGCAGAAGTATAAATCAGGCTTTAAGGCTGATTTATACTTCTGCGTCAAACGTCGGCGTATGCTACGGCGCTGACGCATAGCCCTTCGCCGTGGCCATCGCCGTCACTGACGTGCACCTCTCAAAAAATGTAACTACACGTCGCAACGACGCGTAGCGTAAGCTCTGTGATTGGTCGGCTTGGTAGCGCTGACGAGTCTGGGCGGGACCGAGAGCCGCGCGAATGGCGCGAGCGATTGTTTACAAGTGTGGAGTCCCATGAAGGAGCTCCGGATGGAAAGTTTTGTTTTGTGTTTACCTCATAGTTAAAGTTGTTGCACATCCGCCGGTTCCTGCCTCAAAATGAGCGAGTTTGAGCCACTTGTACATCCCGGAAGTGTTCAGGAAAAGCAAAAAAGCAGAGAAGAAACTCGACACAGAGGAACATTAACACCTCACTGCCCACTAGCGTTTCGGAAGTGTTAATGCAGACCGACAGAGACAGCGCGCAGAAGTATAAATGCACAGCCACGCGCGTTGCCTGCGCCGTGGGTTACGCCGGTCACCTGACGCAGAAGTATAAATCAGGCTTTAATCTCTGACTGTGAAGAACATGTTCAAGTGGGTTCAGTCTTAACCTGTTGCACAGCTATCATGCGGTAAATGTCATGCACGATGCAGCTGTTTTAAAAGCCGATATCTGCTGCAAATCTACTTTATATGTTGCAATTAAACTATATTAGTTGTTTCTCAGATGTTCCTGCAGGTTTAACCGTGTTCCTACATAATGTAGCTTTATCAAAGTACTTCACAGGCTGAGGCAATCTTCTTCTGCTTCTTGTAAACACAGTGCACAAAAGCCTTTTACGACAGCCTTACCACAAAGCTGTACCTACTTTATGTTCGTGTGTTTGCTTGTTCCAAATATAGGGGTTTCTCTGGTTACAGGCTTTGTGACTCCACAGTGACCCTAGCAAGGAATGTACCTTTAACTACTGCCTAGAAGACATTAAATTACTGTCTGAGGATGCTTTTAAGATGTTAAGTCATATGAGTTTTTTGTTGTTGTTTTTTAAAGTAAATTGTCATCGTTGGCGAGGCAGTGGCGCAGTAGGTAGTGCTGTCGCCTCACAGCAGGAAGGTCGCTAGGTCGCTGATTCGAACCTGGGCTCAGTTGGCTTTTCTGTGTGGAGTTTGCATGTTCTCCCTGCGTTTGCGTGGGTTTCCTCCGGGTGCTTCGGTTTCCCCCACAGTCCAAAGACATGCGGTACAGGTGAATTGGGTAGGCTAAATTGTCCGTAGTGTATGAGTGTGTGTGTGTAAATGAGTGTGTGTGGGTGTTTTCCAGAGATGGGTTGCGGCTAGAAGGGCATTCGCTGCGTAAAAACGCGCTGGATAAGTTGGTGGTCCATTCCGCAGTGGCGACCCCAGAATAATAAAGGGACTAAGCCAACAATAAAATGAATGAATGAACATTCATGGACAAGCGTCCAATGTCTAGAAAGATGTCATGTGGGCATCATCATACACTTTACAGCGCTATAGGCTCAGAAAAAATGTGTCTATTCTTTTTTAGAGGAATTTAGGATTATAAAAGAAGAATATGGGGTAGATAGAAAACTACAAATTGTGGATGGGTGAAAAGCCAAGTCCCCTCAATTTTGGCCTATTCTAGACTAAAGCAGTGATTGGTTAGTGATCAGTTAAGAAATTAGTTTCCACATTTGAAGAGTGTATGTGTGCGATCTTGTGAATAAGTGTAGCATTTTGATTGGTTGTGTTTGGAAAAGGAAAGCAAGTGGATTCCTATTAGAGTTTTGTGTTTTAGGTAGAGAATTGTGTGTAGATTTTTGAAAAAAATGTATGCATTTGAAAATTGAGTTCAAGGCTGAGAAATACACTGCCAAAAATGCTTTTCTTACTTAGATTTTTTGTCTTGTTTCTAGTCCAAATATCTAAAAGTTCCTAAATCAAGAAGAATTTTCTTAACAAGCAAAACATATAGTCTTGTTTTGAGAAATATTATGCCAATATTAAGTCGGCAAAATAATCTGCCAATGGGGTAAGCAAAATAATCTTATGTCAAAAGAAAAAACAAGATTAATTTGCTTACCCCATTGGCAAATTATTTTGCTTGTTTTAAGGAAAAACTGACTTAATACTGGCATATTATTTCTCAAAACAAGACAATATGTTTTGCTTGTCTAAAAAATGCTTCTTGATATAAGAAATTTTAGATATTTAGACTAGAAACAAGACAAAAAATCTAAGCAAGAAAAGCATTTTTTGCAGTGTAGCTCATGGTTTTGGAGATTTGAGGTGTATTTTTGCATTTTGAGCGAGAGGTTTCAGAAATCGTGTGACAAGAAAATATTTTGTGTGTTAGCAGTTAGAAAAAAAACTGTAAACTATATGCTGACTGAAGTGGAGACAATGCTGCTTGAGTACAGTAAATACAGTTGGGGTGAACCAACCATTACTTTGAGTGGACCACTACCACCATGACCCCATTGATCCTGGGATTTCTGTTTTGGGAAATTTGAGCTTTTCAAAGCCCCCAAATTCCAAAGATTAGCCTCTCATACAGGAAATGGGAGATCATCATCATGGTAAGACTTCCTTCCTCTGCATCCAGTTCAGTCACTCTCCAGGGTCCATCAGTGCCAGTCTCCTACCAGTCTACAGAAAGACGGGACCCACTGTTTTACCATTCGGAGAACAAGATAGCCTCTACCAGGGCTCAGCTATACCAATTTATTCAAGGAGGTGCTCTGCAATATTAGAATATCAAGAATAGTTGTATTGACACTTACAACGCTGTAGTATTGGATAACCGTGCTGGTCAAAGAAGACTGGATCTCTGCACTGAGAATCAAAATTAGGACAGCTGTCATAGCCAACACTAGATGGGACGCAGAATTGCCTAATTGGATTTTACATCAAGGGAATTTTGTAATCATGGACCAGATGAGTCCTTCTGCTTCAGAGGGAGGCTCTTCTCCATCGCTCACTTCAGCTGCTAGAGTGAGCTTCCTCCACCCTGCAGCAGGATCGGACACTACCGTCAGGTTTCCAGGGATAAAACCTAAACTGAGCCCAAAACCTCTTGTTCTTCCACCGGTTCCTGCAATTCCAGTCATAGCCCCCAGCAAACCACGGCAGCCGAACACCAGCTGGGTGCACAGCGCCAAACAGAAAGAGGAAGCTGGTGCTCAAAACAGAGCAAACGAAAGCAGGAGACCTGAACGGATGTCTTTTCTGTCTGCTGTGATTGAGCGCACCTCAAAGCTGTATGGAGACACATACACACCTGGGCTGCATCTCAGCTCCTCCGGGGAGACACCTGCCATGGAGAACGCTGATGTGACATCATTTCCTGATGTGAAAGGCGGTGAGGCTTCAGCAAAGACACAGTGTTTTGCAACACAGACAGCCATGATGCCTTCGGCCAGGCTTAGACCTGCAGTTCCTGTGAAGGTATTGGTGCTTTTATGATATCAGTTCAGCATTTACTCTGATTTTATGAGTACTTGATGTAGTTTCGGAAAGTTTATGTAGACATTTAACTATATTTTAATTTGGAGTGATTGATTTGCATGTCTTCTGGCTGGCAGCATCATCTCAGATTTGTCTAGTCTTGTCATTGATGTTTCAGACTGATTTAAAGAGCGGATCTTAGGGATTTGAGCATGTTAGATATTGTTTGTCTCTCCACCCAGATGAACAGATTACAGCTGATATCTTAATGCCATACCTCACACTAAATTTACCAGAACCAATTTTCATCTTCCTCTTTAGATGTTGAAGAATTGTACTGTGACGCTGAAATGTTTTTGGACATGTATTCTTATTTTAAAACAGGCAAAGTGAATATAATGAGAACGTATAAAAGAAAGAATCATTGATATTGTAAAAAGAAAGAACATAAACGTTAAGCAAAATATCTAAACGTCTCTACTGTTTGAACTACACCAGTGGGACACGCTTAAATCCAGCATATACAGTTGAAGTCAGAATTATTTGCCCCCCTTTGAATTTAAAAAAATATATATTTCCCAAATGATGCTTAACAGAGCAAGGAAATTTTCACAGTATGTCTAATAATATTTCTTTCTTCTGGAGAAAGTCTTATTTGTTATTTCGGCTGGAATAAAAGCAGTTTTTAATTTTTTAAAAAGCCATTTTAGGGATAGAATTATTAGCCCCTTCAAGCTATCTCTTTTTTTCTGTAGTCTACAAAACAAACCATCATTATACAGTAACTTGCCTAATTACCCTAACCTGTCTAGTTAACCTTATTAACCTAGTTAAACCTTTAAATGTCATTTTAACCAGTGAAACTCTGCAGTTGTTTTGGGATTTCCGCCTGGATTTTGCCTACCCAAATTTAAAAGCTTCCAAATTCAACTGTCAGAGGTGTAAATGCAAAAATTTGGTATCATTTTAAAGAAAACCCTTTGAATTTTCATAAAACACCATTGAAAGTGTTTAAAATAACTGTATATGTTGTCTGTGATATAATAAACACCTAACAAAGGAGGCGCTTTTTGTATTTTTTTTATAAACTCAAATTTGAAAGTGTACCTTTTAGGTTCTGTCTGGTCTAGCGTGCTGCAATTAATGTTGGTGGTTCCTGCACATGTCTGTAATCATAGGGAAAAAAAAAGTCTCTACCATAATATATGCAAAAGTTATTGTATTCCAACTGATGAGCGGTGCTGTACAAGCCACAGGGATCGATCATTGTTTTCATATTTCACTATTCTTTTGTTTGATCAAACATAATTCACTGTGTTTGGACCACGTCAGACATATAAAAGGATTACTCATGCACATCACCTCAAAAACAGAGGAGAATGGCCCTGAAGCACACAGCATAAGGTAAGAGATGACAGCTGTCTGTGCTATCTGGGGCTGCTTATTGATCATAAATGTATTGTTTTCACTTCTGCGCCATGGAAACACCGCGATTCATTCGGCAAGTGTTTGATATGTGAATATAATTCAGTAAAAACAATGCTAGAACCGTATGAGCACCGGCAAGAGCTTTCATTTGAGCTATAACTTATACATGCGTCATATAAAAAATATGAAAATAAACCAATGTAAAATACCTAGCCCGGGTATCCAAAATACTGTGTATTTAAGTCTAAATAACTTTTATAAAGTAGTTAACTGGTTAAGTTAACTGGTGAAGCTGTATAGAAGCGTCTTGAAAAATATCTAGTCAAATATTATTTAATGTCATCATGGCAAAGATAAAATAAATCAGTTATTAGAAATGAGTTATTAAACTATTATGTTTAGAAATGTGTTCTCAGTTCAACAGAAATTTGGGGGAAAAAATGAAACAAGGGGTCTAATAATTCAAAAGGCCTAATAATTCTGACTTCAACTGTATTTTGTCAGACCATTGATGTGAAATTTCATTTTCTAATGTACTTGGCATTCAGTGAGACCTGATACAGGCTTAGACATATTTAAAATTCTGATTTACTTAAACAGCTTCGGTTTCCCCCACAGTCCAAAGACATGCGGTACAGGTGAATTGGGTAGGCTAAATTGTCTGTAGTGTATGAGTGTGTGTGAATGTGTGTGTGAATGTTTCCCAGAGATAGGTTGCGGCTGAAAGGGCATCCGCTGCGTAAAAACTTGCTGGAAAAGTTGGCGGTTTATTCCGCTGTGGCGACCCCGGATTAATAAAGGGACCAAGCCGACAAGAAAATGAATGAATTTGCTTAAACACAGTGCGTTTTAACATACGAGGTTTTCCTAGTAAGTGTATGATTACATTACAGAAACAAACGCTAAATCATTTTGCTGCTTACAATTGTGTGGTTGAATTAAGGGAACTTTTCTAGTCATCTGTCAAACTGACTAATATTAATAAGTTAAACTTTGTATAACTAAAATAGTTTAGTTGAAATTTGATTAGAATCAGTGGTGGAAAGCGTACAGAAGAATTAAACTCAAGTAAAAGTGCCACTACTTGCCTAAAAATGTAGTGCAAGTAGAGTTAAAGTATATTTTGTAAAGATTACTCAAAGTATGAGTAAAAAGTAGCCCTTATATAAGTACGCAAGAGTAGTAAGTATTACCCTGTCATTTGTGGATGTGTGTAAAAGTAGCATTTTGTAGTGCATTTAGTTATTGGCCAGCAGGCACACAACATCATAACACGTTAATATTGGATTGAGGTGTTAGTGTCAGGTGACCAAAATTCAATGTCTCGCCTGCATCTAAGGACAACGTTATTTTGATTTCAAATAACGACGTCAAGTGAGGTTGATGTTTGATTCATTTTTGGTTGTGTTAGAAAGTGACCAAAATCCAACGTCGAGCCAACATCTTAACCCAATGTCATACTGACGTCAAATACTGACATTTATTCGTCAGGTATGACAACCAAAATCCAACGTCTGATAGACGTCATAGTAGTAACGTCCACTCAACATCAAGCTTGAACATCATTAGACATTGATATTTGGTTTATTTTAGGTTGATTGAATCGTGTTTTGAATTAATGAATTGGATTTGTGTATTTTAATCAGATTTTAAACTCACGAATTGCATTTGTGTATTTTTTTAATCATCCTTTGAAATTAGAAATTAGATTTGTGTGTGGTTTTGAATCGTGTTTTGAATTTCTGAATTAGATTTGTGTGTTTTTGAATCGTGTTTTGAATTTCTGAATTTGATTTGTGTGTTTTTGAATGGTGTTTTGAATTTCTGAATTTGATTTGTGCGTTTTTGAATCGTGTTTTAAATGTATAAATTAGATTTTTGTATTTTTCAATCGTGTTTTGAATTTACAAATTTGATTTTGTGTATTTATAAATGGTGTTTTGAATTCTGGAATTGGATTTGTGTGTTTTTGATTTATGTTTTGAATTTACAAATTTGATTTGTGCATTTAGAAATAGTGCTTTGAATTTGCGAACTGGATTTTGTAAATGTTAATTTTGTTGTGAACGTTTGAAATTTATTTAGTAAATGTATTATTTTTTAGACTGGTCTGGCTACGTAATCTAGAGCCTGACTAAGATTGTTGAATATATTCATTCATTCAAATTCTTTTCGACTTAGTCCCTTTATTTATCTGTGGTCACCACAGCGGAATGAACCACCAACTTAACCAGCATATGTTTTATGTAGCGGATGCCCTTTCGGCTGCAACATTGGGAAACATCCATACACACTCATTCACACACACACACTACTGACAATTTAGCATACCCAATTCCCCTATACACAGAAATTTGGGTATGTTGTTAGTTTACTTTTTTTATATTTATGTTTTATAAACAGATCAATGTATTATGTATAGTTTCTATTTCTATTGATATATTTTATGCTGTCATGACTTTATAATATTACATGAATTCTTTCATTCTTAAAGCTTATCCTCCTCTGCTGCAGACAGAAGTCTGACTATCTTGTAAAAATGATTTTTTTTATCAGTATGATCAGCTCAGTAACTAATAAAGCCACCTTGTTGATATTTATAGACTATTTTGATGGATGTAAACAGTAATAATGGTCCCAACACATTTCCTGTTTTACTGTTTTTAATTTCTATAGCTTCTGAAAATCCAAAAAGGTCCACATATTGATAAATAATGTTATGATAGCTGTTTTAACATGCGATTAATATTGAAATACCTCTTGTTACAGTTATGAAATAGTTTGATAACAAGCAGGAAATGTTCATGGGCCAATGACCTGACCAGATTGAAATGGTCTATATGTATATAATATGTTACTATAATCATGCTTGTGTTATGCATTGCATATATAGTAATATTATATTTTCACATTGACCAAATCTACATGAATTGGCATCGCAAAAAGTCCAGGATGTACCCATAAAGATTTAACATCTGGATTTAAAACAGTGTCATGCGTGATCATGGTGACGTCTGAGATATGAACAGGGAAAACATGTGCGCGCGCACACACACGCGCACTCATAAACGGGACTGTACCAACTGACGCTAGACTGAGGGGACGTAAGAAAACAACGAAACGCACGCTCACACACGCGCACTGCGCTTTTATTGAGCTGAAGTAAATCGCAGTGATGCTGAACATCCAGCTTTAAATGACTGTTGGTGAATATATATAATACATCCAGCCGGTGAGTTTCATTGTTTGTTTTGTTGTTTCATTCAGTGTTTTGCACGGTTTCCCGACAACTCGATTCAGGCGCTTTCACTTCTGCAATATTCCCTGTTTATGTGTCACACGTTCAGTTTCAATCTCAGTCGGCTGATATAGGATTGTATGTATATTACATAAAACACACTTTAAACATTTTAGTGTGTATATGTAGCTACAAGGCTCGTTCACGTCTAGTATTTAAGCTAACAGACTTTAGCACACAGGGACGTACAGTAAATGAGTGAGGACAAATAAATGAGAATCCACCAATGATGCTGACAACAGGACGCGATATTTCTCAGTTTTCTTCTTTGTTT